ATCCACGAAGCATATGTTCCAAGACACCCCACTCAAGGCCTGAAACCATGGTTATTATGGAGCCCCACACACAGTAACAACAACTAATAAAATTAGGCAATGATAACTATATTGTTAGTAAAAGGTACAGACTTGGGCGAAGATGACACCTGTCTATTAGTTTTTACATCTACAACACACAGGTTGAGCACCCCTAAACATCGAAAATGCTCCAAAATCTAAGACTTTTTGAGTGCAAACATGATGCCACGAAGAAGAAAACACCGCATCTGCCCTCACGTGACAGGCCTTAATCACAATGCTGCAACACAAGACTGTATAAAACCACCTTCCTGCTATATGTAAAGAGCATAGGTATTATTCACATTCTTAATGTCAATAAATTTCATATTTAGACTTGGGTCCTATCTCATGAAATATATGCAAATATCCTAAAATCAAAAAACCTGAAACCTGAAGCACTCCTGGTCCCAAGCATTGTGGGTAAGAGACGCTAACCCTGTTAGGAAAATTTGAGCCCCTCATGAGCAAACCATCTGTGACCTCTTCCTAACTCCCATGGGCACCTCTAATGTGTCACCAAATAAGCATGATGCTATTAGTTTGAAATTCATTTATAATACATATTCGTTGTGCTATTACCTATTTAATTCATGCTATAAAATTATCGTTCAATTCCTATCTTAGTAAGAGTTTATTTGGCTTAATTGTCAAAACGTGTAACATTTTATCTAATGTCCTTGGGATAGCCATCAAATACCACAAGGTTCTTTTTTCCTTTTGCCTATTACTGATCATAACTGCGTATTATAAATTAATTATCTTGGTATTCCTGGAAAAAACTCCTTTTAGTCATGCCATATTATCCTGAATTTTATCTGCTAATATTGTACTTACTAGGTTGTTAGGGAAGGCATGATGTATTTTTCTATGCAAAAAAAAATGCATCATGACTTTCCTGGCAACACAAATTTTTTTTTTTTAATTTGCTATAGAGCATGCGTACTCATCAGAGGGAGACAGATTTGGAGAGAGAAAGTGAGAAAGCACCCCCCAGAGGATGACCCCAGTGCAACCCCTTGTCCACTGTCATCTGGAGATTTAAGTGCACATGCACACACCCAGCGGGTTTTTCAAGTTGCTGGGTACAGGACTCAAAGCACAAAGTCAGCCATGTGGGATGCAGCCTCCCTAACCACCACAGCACCTACTTAGCACCTGGATTTAGATCCTGTATCTAAAGAAATAGTTTAAAATCCTGGTCCCCGATGTAATAGTAATCGGAGGTGTGCCTCTGGGAGGTCATTAAGTTATGATGAAAAGGCCCCAGTAAAGGGGTACTGGTGCCCTTATCAGAAGGACCCTGGGGAGCCCCCAGTCCTTTCCCATCATGTGAGAACAAACCAAGATGACATGTCTATGCACAGGGAGCAGGTCCTCAGCAGACGCCAGAGCTGCTGTGCCTGGGCCTGGGTCTACTCAGCCTGCACCAGGGAGCAGGTCCTCAGCAGACCTGGGGCCGGGGCCAGGACCTTCTCAGCCTCCACCAGGAAGCAGGTCCTCGGCAGACCTAGGGCCTGGGCCTGGGCCTGGGCCTTCTCAGCCTCAGAACTGTGTGCGATAACTGGTATTTTTGTTACGGCAGCCTGAACAAAACCAAGACAAAATATATATCCCTGATGTAGAATATTAAGGGAACAGAGAAGGAACATGCATGTAAGTATACTATACGATGACTACGATTTATATGTTCAAAACGACACAAGGAAGGCATAAAATCTGAGGTACGTCTTGACAGCGAGTGGGAGAAACAGGAAGGAGAACGAGCATTCTAAACGTTGTTTCTGCAGGAGTCATTTCCCGCCGCCCTCACTAACGTCCCGCGGGATGTGTGACTGTTTCCTGTGACGTGACGTTACCTTACTATCAGCAGCTGGAGCTGTGTGCCTGTGTGACTGACAAGGCTGTATGTCTTCCCATGTCACGTACGTGGTATGTGGAGAGCTTGTTTTTGAAAATCAGTCTTAAATTCATGTTTGGTCCACTACTTTTCTAAAAAATCACCATATTTCTGATTGTTTCCTACCAGGAAAACACTGAGATTTTCCATAATCATTAGCTATTCAGTATATTACGTCAAAAATTCATAAAAGAATTGACTTAAGTTAGAATATTCATTATAACAAAAGCAAAAACTTAACATTCAAATTTCATTGTTACTAATATAGTTTTCATGTTCTATGGCCAGGCTCTGGAATATCTCATTACAATATAAAGTCATCTAAAATAACCTGGTAGGGGCCAGCAGGTGGCGTGGTAGTTCAGGCACTGGACTCCTGTATGACCAACAAGATGGTTCAAGTCTCCAACCCAGCAGTTTGAAAATCACACCAGTGTGTGCATGTGCATGCCCAAAAGTCCTGAGAAGAGAAAGCAGGAGAAGGGATTGTGACATGGCCATCCCTCCTGGGGGTGGTTCCTCACTTTCCCTCTCTCTGTCTCTCTCTGGCAAGCACACATGCCCTATGGCAACAACATAAAAAAATAAATAAATACATAAAAATAAACTGATAGAAACTCAACTGGATATGACGTGGCAGGATGTGACTACAACACGGTGACTAACAAGCGTCTCTCTAATGGTACGGCCTGGCAGTTTGAGAAGCAGGACATACTCAGCTGCCAGTTAATAATAAGAATACAGTACAAGCTGCAGGGAGATCGGACTGGCCCAACTGCTCTGGGGCATGAGCTTATTCAAAGTTCTGAAAATACACACACGCCCTCTGAGCACATTCCTTCCTAGGAAGGTATCCTAAAGAGAAAAATTAACGTACAGGGCTACATGATTAAGAATATTCAGCACAGCCCAGTTTTACAATACTGAAAATGAACATGGTCCAAATTTTCAAATAAATGCAATGGAATATTATAAAGTCATTTGAAATTATAAAAGTCTACATTTTTGTATGACAGAAAATAGTCAAGACAAATTACTAAGAAAAGCAGGTGACATTAATTATACATAACCATACTAACACAGTAGTTTCATGTGAACAAATTTCAATTTAATTAAACTTGATTAGGTTTAATTTAAATTTGTTATGTTTAGATAATTTAAGAATCAGTTTTTCAGCTGCACCAGCCACAGGTCCCAGCCAGCTATGGTTTGTGGTACCATACAGCAACCCACTGTATCTGTAGTCTTGCCCTCACATTCCCGTTACTGGGGCCCACTGAGGTCCCGGAGCAGGTGAGTGCTGTACGGTAAGGTACTTTGCGGGAACTGGGAGGTGGCACAGCAGTAACACGCTCTGCAAGGCTGACCCATGTGGGAAGTCTGGGTTTTAGCCCAGACACCTCCTTGACCATACCAGGTACAGACACGCCACAGCCCTGGGCCAGCTGACGGGTGGCAGTGCTCGTCTGTCTGTATGACCCCCCTCTCTCATAAATGAAGAAACTTTAAAAAAAAAAAAATGTTTTGAGAGAGACCACATTCATCTAAATTTTGTAACAGCATAAATTTTCTATTTTATTATCATTACCTTTTTGAGTTTAATTATTTCTTCTATGAACAAACGAGACAGAGAGACGGAGCGTACGCCCAATCCCCACAGGGTCTGGATGCCGTAACCTCCCCTGGTTCAGCCAGCCCTGGTCATGGGCACTGAATGTGACCGTGTGCTCGAGGCCTCCAGAACCCAATCTGGGACTTGCTGTGTGGCCCAGCCTGCTGAGCGCCGCATCACGTTTTTGCAAATGTATTTTTTAATTTCACTATGATCAACTACAATGAATTTCCTGTGTGATAAAATCATGTCTTTAAGGAAAATGAAGTTCATGGGACCGGCAGATGGCGTAATGGTTACATTGCTGGACTCCCAGGTAGCTGACCACGGTCTGAGTCCTGGACCTGGCAGCCTAAACTCATGCTGGGCGCATGTGTGTGCGTGACCAAATTCCTGAGAGGAGAATGGAGAAGGGATTGCAGCATGGCTCTCTCTGTCTCTCTCTGTCTTTCTGGTGAGCACACATGCCCTATACCAAAAACCTCTCTTCAAAAAAAGAAAGAAAAATGAAGTTCTTCAAAAATAAAAATGCTTCACTATAAATATTTCTGATATTTTACCAAATGAGAAATTACAGAACAACCTACACATTTAGAACTGCTTTTCAAAATTAGTGTTTTGCAGAATATGTCACTTTTTAAGCCTCCTTCCTCACACAGAATTTTTAAAAATTCAGACTTGTACTAACACAATTTAGGAATTTTTTTTTCCCTTAGCCAAATATGAAAGTTATCTGAAGTATGATCAAATACAGAAAAGTTATTGTAGCTATTCATTTCTAAAACTTAGTATAAGATGAATTCTTCTATGCTTTTTAAAAATGGAACACCATCCAGAAAAGTGAAAAATCATCACTAGTCAGAGGTCAGCTGAAGTCTGCGTTTACACTCCAAAACTAAATGACAATGTGTCTCTATGTCACTCTTTCTATCTGTGCCACCATGGTAGCAAAAATCTTATCACAGACCTTTTACAGCAAGGCAACGGTTCCCATGGAAACCACAGGGCAAACATCCATTGTAGTGGCCAAGGACTTGATGAACACATGTAAATGGAGGTAACTGCTTTTCTCTTACTCCTATTTTAAAAGTGAGCAATCGGTAGCTACTCTGGGTGTGGTTTTTGCTGCAATGTCTCTATGGATAATTCTAGAAAGGAGTAACAAACCTGTTCCCGTCTAGCACATGAGCCTACAGACATCCAGAGTGGGGCCTGGAAAGACCCAGCAACTTACCAGGCCTGCACACATACAGATGCCATCACGCCGTACAAGAGAACACACCAGAGCAGAAATCAGTGCAGCACTTCCGCACACAAGACAAAATCCCTTCACCGGTACAGAGCACATGAATTCATGAGCCGGTGAAATGCCGATTAGTCAGGAAAACAAAGACAATCAATTAATCGTAACTAAAACGAGTCGCTCACCTCTCTCAACATATTGTTCTCCTTTTCCTTCTGTTCCAAAAGGCTTTCTAGGTGGTGGACGTGCATCTCTGCCTCTGCCAGCCGCCTCGTTCTCTCATGGTCTTCCTCAGTAGCCTTGGCAGAGAGTCCTTTGCTCTGCAGCATCTCCAGAAGCTTCTTGATGGATTCATCCCGAGCATTCAGGGTTTGCTTCTGGGTCTCGATGCGCAGTTCCATCTCCTCCAGAGTCTTCCGGAGCAGAAACAGCTCCTTGGCCTGCCGCTCGTGCTCGGCGTGCAGCCTCTGGAAGTTCTCCTCCGTCAGCTCTGCCACGCAGGGGTCCCCAGGCCTACTGCTGCTGTCCTGCTGGAACAGCTGGTTCAGGTCCCTCTGGATCCGCAGTTCATCCTGGAGAGCCTGGATCGTCATCTGCATGTGCTACAGCCAAGACAGAAAGAAAACCCCAAATCAGCTTTCCTCCTCCAGTAACGAAAATAGAGCAGACTGGAGGGGTCAAAAATAGCTGCACGGGCTCTCAGACATCTGCATTCGGCACCTGGGATTTACCTGACTCTGCTTTACAGCTTCTTTAAAAATGATTGATACAACTGGTAAAATGTCAGTACTTTATCTTTGTTTATTTATTACCAACAGAAAGCAAGGCAAGTGGCAGCTTCTCGCGTCACATAAGCCGTGATAAGATAAAGACCCTGTTCAAAATTAACAGAAGGGCTGTCCAGCCACCGTGGCATGGCAGCAAGGCACCACTGCACATGGCTGGGGCCACACGGCAAGGCCAGTTGGGACCCCAGGGTGGCCTGCGCACACCAAGTATACCCATGATCCTGCTGGCTGGAAGGCTAGGGGAGATCACAGTGTGGAAAGACCCTGGCCCAGGTCCCCGTGTGCGAGTGAGTGTGTGTGTGTGTGTGTGTGTGTGTGTGTCATATGAAACTAAAAAATAGGCTTTAAAAATTAATAGAAGACATTTACACCAGAAACTAAATTTGAGAGGAGGAAGAAGACAGGAGAAATCTACAGGAATATGAACATGTTCATTCAAAAAAATTTCACTAAAAAACAGTGATATGGAAATATTAAAATTAAATGAGTGGTTTATATGTGACAGACTTGCCAAGTACTTTTTATATGTGAATTAATGTGGTCTCCATTATGACAATGTACTTCTTAAAAAGTTGATTTCTGTCTTGAGAGAGAGAGAGGAAAAAATGTAGGTGTGCAGCCCAACAGTTTCACGCCATGGTTCACCACGGCCTCAGCCAGACAAGATTGAGGGCATGCAAGCACACATGTCCACACACACCCGGCAAGTACGGGGACACCTCAGGGCACAAACCCAGGACTTCTCCACATGGCTTAAGCACCACAGAACACTGTTACCTCCGCACCACAACGGCTGCCCTACACTTTATTATATTATCATTACTATGGTAAAACACTTAACGTGAAATCTACCCTAACCAACTCCTAAGTGTGCAATCCCTTAGTGTTGACTACAGATGCAGTTCTGTACATCAGATCTCTCTTTAGCGCTCACTCATCTTAACTAGAAGTTCAGGCTCAGCGATGAGCTACTCTCCACGCCCCTACCCCTCCCCAGCCCCGGCAGCCACCCTCGCACTCTGGTTCTGTGTACTCGACTGTTTTAGATGCCCTACATGGGCACCGTTACTACAGTACTACTGATGAGGAGACGAGGCCTGAGAGGTCAGGTAACATCCAGGATCACAGAGTGACAACCCTTGCTACCCACTGGGACTAGAACGACACGAAGACACCAGCGTAACTGCGAGCTTAGAGAGACAGAGTGTGTGAGCTGTGCATATAGGAAAGACAGCACAACACGGGTAATTAACTGACGGTGTTGGTGCAGATAAACCACTAACGTGTTTGTTTAGCTTTATCCCTAATGAAGGTATCTGAGCCTTTAATCTGAACGGGTAAGTCCAGCGTATTATATAAAAAATTCCAAAAGGCTGTTATGGAGATAGTTTTATTTTTAGGAATGAGGAAACAATGAAGAGCTTTCGTCCCTGTATCGGGGTCTGGCAGTGTTCCACAGTGCTGCAAAGAGCATTAAACCGTGGCCAGAGACGCAGGTTTCTGCTCCAGCTCTCACTTCCGAGCTATGAAACTCAGACTCACCACCCTTCCGGATTCCAGGCTCCTCATGGTTACAACGAAGGTAAAAACGCCTGCACTACTTTTCCATGGAGTTGGTAATACCAAATCTGTCTGATGTGTTAGAAACACACTGGTTAACAAGTCTGCCAGGCTGGGACCAGCAGTTGGCATAATGGCTATGTCGCTGGACTCCCACGTAGTTGACCGTGGTTTGAGTCCTGGGCCCAGTGGCTTAAACTCACCGGGCGCATGTGCATGCGTGCCCAAGATCCTGAGAGGAAAATGGAGGAGAAAGGATTGAGTTGTGGCCATGCCCCCTGGGGGGTGATTTCTCGCTTTCTGTCTTTCTCTGTCTTTCTGGAGAGTGCACGTGCCCTATAGCAAAAAGCTCTCAAAAAAAAAAAAAAAATCTAGCAGGCTATAAATATAAACAGCATAATAAACACTCAAGGAAATGATTTAGCAAGTATGCAAAGATGTATATACAAAGATAACTCATTACTGTTTATAACAGTGGCAAATTAGAAACTCTCTAAATGAAAGTCAATAGATGATGGAGTAAATAAGAAATGTCCACACAATTTAATACTATGCATCAATTAAAAATAACAAACTAAATTTATATGCACTGATTAAAAATTATCATCATAAAAGTTATGTTTATAAAGGTAAAAAGTAGATTATACAACAGCGAATATAAGACAATATTCAATTCTAACTTTTTTAAAGTTTACTTATTTATTACATGGAAACGACAAAGAGAGGCATCTGCAACAGCGTCTTCCCTCCACAATCAACCCCCAGCCTCAGGTGGCCTGGACCATGAGTGCACATGCATGCCTAGTATGTACCGGGGACCCTACGACACCAACATGGGACCCTCTCACGTGGGGCCAGCATCACAGAGCGTCACACTACCACTATGCCACCGTGGCTGGCTCTGTATTTTTCGACAATTTTCAGAGTGAGAAGGGAGAGAGCACCCCCCCAAAGGGGCATGGTCATGCCACAATCCTATCTGTTTCTCCATCCTGTCGGGACATGGGGCACACATACCTGGCATTGTTGGTTGTTGTTTTTTTTTTCTTTTTTTGGAGAGATTTTTGCTATAGGGCGTGTGCGCTCGCCAGAGAGAGACAGAGAGACAAAAAGCAAGAAATCACCCCCCAGGGGGGATGGCCCCGCCGCAATCCCTTCTCCTCCATTCTCCTCTCAGGATCTTGGGCACGGACACACGCCTGGCGTCCGGGACTCGAACCATGGGCGACTACGTGGGAGTCCAGCAACATAGCCATTATGCTAACTGCTGGTCCCTTGGCATTGTTTTTTTTAATAGATTTTTGATATAGGGCATGTGAGCTCACCAGACAGACAGAAAGCGAGAAATCACCCCCCATGGGAGGGATGGCCATGCTGCAATCTCTTCTCCATTCTCCTCTCAGGATTTTGGACACACGCGCACACATGCCTGGCATGAGTTTTAAGCCTCTAGGTCATGTGGGAGTCCAGCAAAATAACCATCACACCATCTGCTGGTTTTCCTGGCATGTTTTCAAGCCACTGGTCCCAGGAGTTAAACCACAGTCAGCCACGGGGGATCTGGCTCCCTTAACCACCAGGCAAAGGGGTCAGCTGCCCGTCTTTATGGTTTTTGGTATTGTTTAAATCTCCTACAGTAAGAGGAACCAGCAGTTAGCGTAATGGCTATGTTGCTGGACTCCCACATAATCGACCGTGGTTCGCATCCCGGACCCGGTGGCTTAAAACTCACGACGAGTTCATGTGCGTGCGTGCCCAAGATCCCGAGAGGAGCATGGAGGAGAAGGGATTGTGGC